GGGGGGCTCAGACCTTCCTCTTGAGCAGTGCAGGCCCTCAGCTATGGGCTGTTTGTTCCCACACTAAGCCAGGGAGCCAGGGAGACACAAACCTTGTCACCTTGACCTTGGACTTCAGTCACCAGAACTGTGAGTGACAAATTTCCTTCATTTAAGCCTTGCAACCTACGGCACTTTGAAGACTTTCTCGGTGGGGGTGACCGCACTTGGGCATGCACAGCCACAGGGAGCAGGGGCACCCAGGCTCTCACCAGCTTCTCCTCCCATAGGCGTGACAGCCCCGCCTCTTGGCAGACCAGCAACAGCTACTGCTGCCCAGGGAAGGGGGGACCCCTCTCCTCACTTGCCGGGCACAGGGGCCTAGACTTCCCTGGCAGCAGCTCTGGTCTGTACAGTGTGTCATGAGCCTAGCGGTGTCCCCTTGTGAGCGTGCCCCGCTTTGAGGCCCAGGGCCTCCTGCCCTAGCCCGTCCAGAGCTGCAGAGAGGAGAAGCACTGAATCCCTCAGGAGATGATGGACATGCTGGTGAGGGGCCCACACGGACTTGGCTTTGACCTTGGCCATGTCGGGACAGCCCTCTTCCTGACCCATCACACAGTGAACGGTGATGCAGCAGATACACTTTCCTGAAGCTGTGAATGCACTCCCGGGTACATTCCTCAGGGCAGCCCCTCAGGTGCCCTCAGAAGGCCCGGCCGGCAGCACGGGATAGTGCAGACTGTGGTGTGGCCAGTGGATCCCATGCCAATGCCCACCCCGCCTCTCTCCTGTGAAGCGTGTCCCCAGCTGGTCCAGGGCTGAGAGCGGCCCCACACCTGGGGTCAGGCATCACAGGGGCCCCGAGTGGTGCTGCTTCGGTTCTCAGGACGCAGAGGAAACCAGAGGTGGGGAGCGTCTCCTCCTGAGAGAGGAGCCTTGGCCTCCCGGGTGGAGGGGCTCAAGTGTGGACCTGTCAATAGGGGCTACTTGGTCACTCAGAGATATCTGGTCAGCGTTGGGCCGTAGGGCTGGCATGTTGGACAATGGGCAGGCGCAGTGGCCGGAACAGTATTTATAAGAGGGAGTCAAGACTTCTGGATCCTTTAGCATCATCTCTGCCACCCCGGTCATCCCATTCACGTGCCATACATGAGGCAAACTCAGCCGGATGTCAGGGAGTCCGGAGCCTCAGGCAACCACCAGAGCAGTCAGTGTCCACCCTAAGTTCCCCTGCTGTCCAGAGTGAATCACTGAACCCCCACAGGTTCCCGCTCTCTCTGCTCCTCCCCCTCCTTCCTCAGCTCTCTGGTCAAGGCCAATGTGCAGGTGAGTTTACCAGGGCAGCACCAGGAAAAGGGGAGGCTCCAGGTGGCTGCCCCACCCAAAGGAGGGTGGAGCTGAGCAGAAAGGGGAGGTGACTGGAGAGGAAGGAAGCTGGGTGGAGGCCAGGAGGAGACCTGAGGGGACACATGGAGCAGAGACAGGGGAAGAAGCGGCTCTAGTTTCTTGGTCCTGGACTGGGTGACATGGATGTGGGTGAGAGACCCGTGGGGAGGTGACTATGGCAGCATTTATCTTGATTTTGATGTTGGTCTTTTCCTCCCAGATTTGTCTGGCCATATCTGACCCTGGTGGGTCCCCACCAGAAGGTGCTTTAGGCTTGTGGCAGCTTTCTGCCCTTGCATTGGGCCAACCCCTTGTGGGTGGACTTTTACCCAGAGGAGATGGGTAACTTGGGTGCTTGATTTATCAAGCATATTCTTTTTCTTGTCTGTATTACACACTAGTATTAAAGTTCCTTTCCCTTAAAGGTCCTATATGTTTTGACGTGATGTGGCAGATGGCACAACCTATTTAGAGCAGGAAGGTTTTGGGGATCCTGGGGTGTCCTTTTCTAAGTCCACCCTTCTAGTATGTCCAGGATTTGACCCTCCGGCTCTTTTCCTTATTAACCTGTCTAGTTACAGTGGTCTCGGCTAAGGGCAGGGAGGTGGAGGGAAATGTTTTCTCCCCATCCCCAAGGAGAGCAAAGGGGTTAAGGGGAGACCTGAAAGGTGGATGGCGGGGGCTTCGTTGGTCCTGGTGACAAGAGCCTGAGGCATTTCCAGGGGTCCCCTGGGTGTCTTGAGGACCCTCTTAAAAGGGATGTCACCTTAGGAAGGTGTTCTTGAACCCACACCCGGCTGATTAGGTAACAGGGTGGTCTCCAGGAAAAGGGGGAGTTCCATGTTCTCAACCACACCCAGAAGGAGAGTGGAGCTGAGCAGAGAAAAGAAGAGAAGGAATCTGAGAAGGAAGCAGGATGGAGGCCAGAAGGAGACCTGAGGAAGTCACATGGAGCAGCAAGCATGTGATGGAGAAACCGTGCATGTTTCTTGGCCCTGGACTGGTTAAAACAGATGTGGGGGACAGACCCGTGGGGAGCATGGCAGCATTTATGTTAATTTTGATTTTGCTCTTTTCCTTCCAGACTTGTCTGGACATTTCTGACCCTTGTCTATGGGTCCTGGCCTGAAGATGCTTTAGGCTTGTGGCAGCTTTAGACCAATCCTTTTTGGGTGGACTTTTGCCCACGAGGGGATGGGTAACTTCAGGTGTTTATTTTAGAAATTATATTCTTTGTCTTCTATGTTGTACACTCACTGTATTAAAATTCCTTTTCATGAAATTCTTATATGTTTTGTCTTGATGCAGACAGATGGCAGAAACTGTTTAAAACAGACAGGTTTGGGGGTTCAATGGTGCCCCCCTCTCCCTGCCCTGTAACAGATGAGCCCCAAGGGACCAGGAACTCTGTCACCCATCACCTGATTCTCCCTACCCTGCTCTTTGTTTTTGTCCCCACTGGGCGGTAACTCCCAGCGCGTGAAGAGTCACTGTCACAGCCCCTCGGACCTGCCCTCCCAACGGCTTTCTCTCCCTCATTCACCTGTGGGGGTCCTGGATGCCCACGCGCGAGGGGTTTTCCTCTTCGTGAAGACATCGTCGCACCCGCTGCAGCTCAACTTCAGACGAAAACCAACCGCTCAGCCGGACATCTTGGAAGTAGGGGCGGAATGCTGAGAGTAGCAGGGCGGTCCTGGAGCTGCCCATAGGCTGTCCGTCCTGCCAGTCGGGAGACCAGACGGTGCTCTAATGGACACTTCAGGCTGTCGGGAGGGGTCCTGGAGCGCTTCCTTCAGCAGATCCGGGCGGCGGCGGAGGGAACTCGACTCTCAGCCGCTCTGAGACCCGAAAACTCTCCCCAGACTCAGCCCGGACACCCTGGCGGTGGCTCCGCCTGAAGGCTCCCGACGGGCAGGATGCGGGAACAAACACCCGCGTCGCCTTCCTTCGGGCAGGCGTGTGGTCTAGCCCCTGGGCGGCTCCCCAAGACCGGACTCCCCGATCTGGGACGCCAGGGGCTTTCCCACACATGAAATGGCGGCGCTCGCGTCCCCCACTGACAGTCCCGGTGCGCGCTCACCTGAGCCGCCCTTGGCTGCGGGCCCAAGGGCTGAGGAGAGATGGGGAGCGGGGTACAGGAGTCCGTGCAGGAGAAGGGAGAAGAAAAGGGAGCGAAAAGCATCAATGGAATAAATGTTACTTATTTATAAACCTATGGTCTATTAAAATATATTTAATTCCTATCAACCAAATATTTTATTTAAATTTAAATTTGTTGAAAGACGGCCAAACCCCCTGAGCTGAAGTGAAAGATAAAGAGTCTTTACTTTTACACTGTTCACCTCTTAGAAACAACACCTTGGGCTGGGTTTTGTTTTTCCATAACCACACCACCCATTTCAGAGGATAATATCTGAAAACCAACTTTATTAGGGTACACTTTACCAAAAAATTATGATGCTTTTCTTTGAAGTACACAGATGACTGAGTTTTAGCAATTACACCCTTTATGACTACCCCAATGGATGCTCAACATGGTCATCCTAAAAAGCCCAGTGATAGATATGGGGGTTACAACTGAGATAGAAAGGCACAAAATTATGTAAAAATAAACTATTTTAATAAAAAAAAAGTAATAAACCTGTGCAACCAATACAAGGGATAAGATACACTTGATCATATTAAAAAATATTCATTTGTTTACTCATACTAGAACTGGGGTACAGGCCAGAGGTGTGGGGAGTGAGAGGATTCAGTGGATACAAAGTGGGGAGAAGAACAGGCAGACTGACTGAAAAACACTGCTGAGGGGAGAAGCTGGAAAGACAGGAGAGATCTGCTGTGCCATGTGGGTCAGCTCCCTGGCGAGGGTTCCAATTCATGCTGCAGTGGCTACAGATGGCTTCACAGTACTGCCTGCACGCACCAGGGGGCCACACATGTGCCCACTGATCAAAGCTTTGCAAGAGCTAAAGAACATTACAAGGGTAATGCCACTTACACAATATGCATTTTAAAGAAGAAAACATGGGGAAAATATTCACAGTCTTAACAGAGTTATCTCCAGTGGGTGGTAACTTGGTGACTTACACTTCGTGTCAAATGTGGTATATATTGTGGAAAGAAATGAAGTAGAAAACAAAAACACAACACAAGTGATCAATGAAACCAAGAGATAACTCTTGGAAAGGATACACAAAAGTGTAAACACTTCACTAGGCTCAGTAAGAAAAGAAGAGTGAAAACCCAAATAAAAAGTGAAAAAGGCTAAATTCAAACATCTGCCAAAATAGAGAATATCGACGAAACACTTATCTATGTCTTAAGCAAATAACTTGGACAATCTAGATAACACAAATATTTAGAATCATCAACATTCCAAGACTAAACAAGGATGACATAGACAAGTTACACAGAAGAATCAGAAGCAAAGTGATTGTAAGAGTAAACAAAAGTCTTTATAAGAATAAAATCTCAAGTAGATTTTGCGATCAATTCCACAAAACCTTCAAAAAGGGTCAAATACCTATCCTGCTCAAACTCTTTAAAAAGTTGAAGTTTTTTGAATGACGATAATATTACCCTGGTCCCTAAAGCAAGCAAGGACGACACAGACACAGTAAATGACCAATATTGCTGATGAACATACATGCAAAAAGTAGTGAACAAAACGGGCAAACTGAATCCAGCAATACAGCATGAGAATCAGCCACCATGACCAAGTAGGATTCATTCCAGGAGCAGAAAATTGGTTCAACTTATGCAAATCAATTTTCTACCACATCAACAAAGGAAAGACAAAAATTGCATGATATTTTCAGTGGATACCAAAAACGCATATGGAAAATTCAACACTCCTTTAAAATAAAAACTCTTTTGGGCCTCCCTGGTGGCACAACAGGTTAGTCTCAGCACTTGAAGCTATCAGCAACCACTGCTGCATGAGTCTGTTCCCCAGCCAGGGAGCTGCTCACATGGCCCAGCATGTCTGACCCACTGCTCCCCTCAGCAGTGTGATCCAGTAGATCTACCTGCTCTGCTTCCCACTCTGTCTCTGGTGAACCCTGTGATCCACTGCATTTCTGACCTGTACCCCAGTTCCTATATGCACAAATAAATAGAATAACTCTTTAAAGATAAAGAACTTTGAAACATAAAGAACAAATGTTGGGTAACTTGGACAACCACATACCAAAACATAAAGTGAAAAAAGATCCTTCTTGATCCATACACAAATGTAAAGAAAAAATATTAAATATTAAATATTTAAATATTAAATATTTGGATATAAGACCTGAAATCATAAACTACTTAAAAGAAAATCTAGACAATACACTTTTGGAACTCAACCACAGAAACGTATTTGGGAATAACCCCAAAGGCCTAATACAAACACTGGGCTCCCTCAGGCTAAACAGCTTTTGTGCCTCAGAAGAAACCCCAAACAGGTCGGCAGCCTGGGAACTCAGAGCAGGTATTTATTTGCACATGACACATGCAACAGGGCTAATTTCCAAACACAGAGAACTCACACACACAACTGCAAACAACCCACAGATCAAAATATGGAGAAAGGACCAATACAGACAGAGACTTATCCGAGGAAGCCGCCAGAAGGCCAGGAGCATGAACACAGGCTCAGCGCCACTTGGGAGTGGGAAATGCTGGTGAACACCACAGAGACCGTCTCACCCCGCGGGAATAATCAATAACACTGGCAAGGCTGCAGGAAAGGACACTTGGCCCTGTAGGTGGGGATGCGTATGGTACAGCCCGTGTG